TAAAAGGAGGGGAGAAGTGTTCCTTCTTTTTTCTGCTTTAAATGTTTGATATAATTTATCAGTTAAAATGTATATGAGCCTGCTGTTGTCATATTACGTAGGTTTTCAAGCTAGGAATATATTTTATTTAATAGGTGCTATTCAAATTTTATATTTCCTCCAGAGTCAGTTTCATTAATTTGTCTTCCCAAGGTACTTCTCAGAAGTTGTCAAGGGCCAGGGATTTAGCTCAGTGGTTTTGCGGCCTGCTGCACAAGTGCAAGGACCCGAGTTCAATCCCTGATACCAAAAAAAGAAAAACAAAAGAAGTTGTCAAATTTATTTCGCAAAAGATTTTTGTAATGTGCTTTTTATATCTTTTTAAATTCTGTAAAATCTGTGGTAATGTCTCCTGGATCTTGATATTGTAATTTTAAAAATGTATAATTGATATTGTGTAATAGGAAGTAAAGGTCTAAAGGAGCAGGGGAAGTGGGAGGGGTAAGGGAGAGGAAAGAAGGGAAAAGAAAAAATAGGTGAAAAGAAAAAAATGGAAACAAAGTGTTTGCAGATAGGGAAGGGTGGAGGGGGTGAAGGGAGGGCAGGGGAAGGGGAAAAAAATAACCAAGATCCTCATGTAAAGGTACAAGATTCCAATGATGAATGTAACTGTATTTTATACCTAAAATGTACCAATAAACTTAATGGGGGAGGGGGGAAAGACTTGTCTCTAAAAAATAAAAAGGCCTGGGGCTATAGTTTATCTTATAGTTTATCTGGGCCCGGAGATTTAGCTCAGTGGTGCCACACCTGCCTTGCAAGCCAAGGTCCTGAGTTTGATTCCTGGTACCCACCCCCCTCCAAAAACATGTCCTCACCAGATGAGGTGGCACATGCCTGTAATTCCAGCACTTGGGAGGCTAAGGCAGGAGGATCACAGTGAGTTCAAGGCCAACCTGAGCTACATAGTGAGTTCAAGGCCAACCTGGGCTATATAACAAGACCCTTTCTCAAAAACAGTATTAAAGGCCAGGGATTTAGCTCAGTGGTTCCGCTGCCTGCCTCACAAGCACAAGGTCCTGAGTTCGATCACCGGTACCAAAAAAAAAATTCCTACCAAAACAATATTAAAAAAATAAAGTCTGTGTTATTCGTATTTATCCTACTGTATTGCAGAACATTGGAATTTTTAAAAAAATTTTTAAAATAACTTGTCAAACATACACACATACAAAAAATTAAAACCATGCCAGGGATTTAGCTCAGTGGTTTCGCTGCCTGCTGCACAAGCGCAAGGACCTGAGTTTGATCCCTGGTACCAAAAAAAAAAAAAAAAA